CCAGAAATAGTAAAACTGTTCATGTTACATTTAAGGAAAAATCCCGCCAATTGTCATATGAAAAGATGTGGTTGTTTCAGAATACAAAAAAAGGTCCACACATTTATTTCAGGTAGAGAAAAGTCTCTCTTACGTTACCTTACTGAAGTAAGTAAATTATAATATACTGACTATCATTATTATCGTGAGCATAAAGTGAGCGTGTTTTTATTATTATTATTATTATTTTGGGTGTGGGGTTTGTACAAACAACGTTAACAATTGTTATATATCTTTATATACTATATTTACTCTTACAATTCACGATAAACAGTTGATATGATTGACACATTTCAATTATCAATTATGAAATGTGACAGCCCTTCCTGTGTTTATCTTTTTCACGAAGTAAAACGTGGCGTCGTTATAATATATATGGGCAAATTAGTATTGCCTGACCTTAGATTTACTTCCCATGAAATCGGGACAATAGAGAACTCGTTAAATCTAGGAAATTATCTACAGTTTCCCCCTACACAAAACACAAAGCATCGGGAGGGTTACATTTTCTGGCATTTACTGGGTATTTTTTCAGCAATTAGTTGCTTAAAATATGTTTGTAAATCTCACTAACGACCAGCCTCTCTCTGCTTGGATGGAAATGAAGCCGCGCATTATTGTCGCTTCGCCACCATCCAAAATAATTTTTCTTGTGAAGTTAGCGCTACCTGATTGAAAAAGCAGACTCGGAACATCCCGGTTTTTACCGTAAAGTTTGTATTCTACCTTTGATGTGTACATTTGGGAGATATTTCGGTGAAATTTGATTCACCATCAGACGAACGCGCCTGTTTGCGCGTGAGCACGCGAAGTCATCATTCAAACCTCCCATGCTGAAGAGTTACAATTGGACTGATGTGCCTCTCAGTATGCGATCATCGTTTTTGATCGGTTTGATTTAGATCAAAGTGCACGAATTGCCGTAAAATTGAATGGTAAATATATCAGATGAAAATAAGAAAGTTGAAACAAGCACAGACCTTTTCGTCATTTCCGTTTGGATGCCGCTAATGGAATGCCACTTTGAGTTGTCATGTCACGACTAGAAGAAAGGCTTTTAGAAGACAGCTTAATCATGCACTGTAAGATCAATCCAACGAGACATTTCCATCAGTATGTTATAGAATATATTAGACCATTTAATAATGACAAAGGACTTCTTATTTTTATTTTTCACACTTTTCTCCGTTGACTGATACACCAACTGATTTTTATTTCCTTTATATTTAATTTTGTTTTTTTCCCCGATTTTTTTCTATTGTTGGAAAATCGTGTGTAAGCATAGGTCCATTTAATTAATGGGTTTTGGTTACAACGAGAGAATGAAGAACGTTTAGAATGTATATACATTGTATATGTACTTCTATAACTGTTGCATGGGCGATATTCTAATGTATATTGATCATGGTAAGCTTATTTGTCTTTCTTAAATTAAAAAAACACTACATAACTGAGAACACACTGATAAAGTTCTCATAGTGGTTGGCCGTCAGTGAATCGAATACTAGAATTTTAATATTATTTCTATTGTACAGATGTTGTTGGGTGTCAGTGAGCCCAAGACTTGGCCTACATTGATAATATTTGTATGATACAAATATAGTTGGCTGTCGGTGAGCTTGAGACGAAGACTCGGTTTAAGCTTACATTGATAATATTATTTGTAATGAAAGTTTTGTTAGCCGACAGTGAGTCCAAGACTGGTTTACATTGATGTTATTTTCATAATAATAATATAGTTGGGCGTCAGTGAGCTCAAGACTGGTTTTCATTGGTATCGCTTTAATAACACAAAATGGAGTTGGCTGTCCCCGAGTTGAAGGCTGGGTTTACATTCATGAAACGCACATAATATTATTATGTCCCGCTTACTCAGATATAAAATTTCTATATATTGAGTCGTACTTTTACCGGCGAACCTCTGTATACAAATTAACAGAATTGGTTGAAAGTGAAAATGTAGCAAAACAAAAAAAAACATAGTAAACACTTAATTTACGCTTCGTTGAAAAGAATATCACCACTAAATGTTTGAAATTATGCTGTTTTTAAGTATATATTGTTACTATACCTTTATCAACAATTTGGTTTATCAGTCTCTTGTTCATATATATATCAGTTTGCATCAGAATTGCTTCGGTTGTGTTTTCCGCCATCTTGTAAACATGAATGTATCTATCTTGTATATCCTATATGCTATGCTGCACTAGGAAATGAATTGAATTTAACCTTTAATATTCAAGTGTAGTTGTCTGTCCTTGAGTCGAAGGCTGGGTTTTTACGAATGATATTTTTATGATACATCTATTATTGGCCGCCAGTGAGTCGAAGGCTGGATTTACATTACATTGTACAATACAAATATTGTTGGCTGTCAATGACATGATTACTGGGTCTGCAATAAAACGAAATCTAAAGTAAAACATCTAACCTGATGATCAATATATATAACGTGTAAAGTAACGTACATTACAACACAGGAACTCGATCTGAAGATTGTATAAGCTTAATGATGAGTGTATGTGTTAAGATATTATGACGTGAAACTTCTATTTATATTAACCACTAAACATATCACCTCTAGTTATATATAACATCAAATAAACCCATGGTAGTTATATATCGAATGTACTACATTGTATTTCATTAGTCAAATATCACATAACACATTCACGAATGTACTACATCGTATTTCATTAGTTAAATATCACATAACACATTCACGAATGTACTACATCGTATTTCATTAGTTAAATATCACATAACACATTCACGAATGTACTACATCGTATTTCATTAGTTAAATATCACTTAATTAACACACTCATGAATGTAATACATTGTATTTCAATAGTTATACATCACATAACTTGTCATGCTCGTTTTATTGCCTAAAAGCAAAATCTGTTCTTCGTTTTTCATTGAAAAATAGTTTCTGATTGATTTTGAATTACGGATATTAAAACAACCCCCCCCCTTTTTTTTTTTTGTAATGACGACTACCCAGAGTTGTACACCTTATCAGATGTTTTTATCTCGCTAATCTACAATTTATCATACGTCAATATGATGCCAGAAAATAACATTTATAAAGTGCAGCAATCATAGTCTTCTCCACATACAATAAATATCATACATCACTAAATTATCATCTAGATGTGTCTTACATTCCTCTTCGGGGTTGTCTTGTTCTGGATTACCTGGCAGAAATATTGATAAATATCCATGCATCGCTATAACCTTCGAGAGAAAATAGGGACGTTTATCTAAATATAATTTGAAGCATTTTTACCCTAGGTCACGAAACAGCTGCAGTTGTGTTAAACTAATCTTATACTAGTCACCCTAAAACTGAAATGTTTGTATTGTGATCCTTATTTACGTCTGCATCTTTTTCATACTCCATTATACCATAATAAATTTCCCTGTTGTTAGCTTATATTAAACGATATCAACGATATCGCGAATCATAGACATTTCAATTGGTATTTGTTATGACAAAGTTATATTTTATTAAATGTATGATTCACAACGAATTTAGTTATCTCATTTGTAATTATTCTTCCCAATAATATAAACATTTGTGTGTGTTATCTTTTCTTTCCTGTCAACGGACAAAATTGCCGGATTTTTTACTATGGCGTATTATAACTAATCCTAATTCGCTGTTAGCCATGACTTAATGGCAATGACGGATGCATAGTGAAAAAGTACAACGCACGGTAGGGGAAACGCACATCCTTGTGGAACAAACGATTCTGTTATAGTTTATTAATCAATTTTTCATATTTCTTACTAACCGATTGTTAATTTACATAAATTAAAAGCAGGCGATTTTTTTAGATTATAATTGAAATTTGTTGTAACAAACTGCAATTTATGTCGAGATAAAGGATGGTTTTATTTCGAGATAAACGAGTAGTTTTAAGTCGAGATAAACGGAAGAATGGGGTTTTATTTTTCTTTGTGCTTATGTACGCGTGTTATATTGTGGAAGAACCAAAAAGACGACTAGCAATAATGAAATTATGTTTCGGTGAATAAATCATTGATGTCAATCTAACCCACCACAATACGATTTAAATTTCTGAATGATTCTAAAATTAAACCAGATTTTCGTTCTTCCACACAGTATGTAATCCTCTCTTTAATGACTGCGCGTGTTGTCATTCACTGAATGGTCCATTTACCTCAAAAACACAGAAGGAACAGAGTTCCGTGTGCTATTTGTTCCATCATGTCCGCTGAAGTCGTTCTGTACTCTAAAGGAGTACAAGGATAACCCAATCGTGTGTCGTGTCCTGGTGGTATATCTCTGTACAGGTGTATTAACAGGTATATTGATGCTTCAAATAGTCCCCTATTCATGAAAATAAAAAAACAAGTATATGGCTTTCAACGCCAAAAGCAGTCTAAATGATTTGTGTGTCAATTAATGCTGTTTTTATTTTTAAATTGAAGTGATCTTGGAATCGTTGTTAAAAATCAAAATACTATTTTATGAGAACGTTAAGTCTGTAATGCTGTAAATCCATGAAGTAGTATGATGTTGAATTTTCAATCATGTATTTTGAAACTTTACTGTTTACTCCACTTTAAAAATGGAAATCGCCACCGAGGCAATAGAAGTTGTACTCTTCACACCGGACTTACACTGTTGTTACATGTATGCTATGTAAATGTCTTTACACAATTGTCCATTTTCTGAACGTAAGAGAAATTATAATGAAAGGCTTTGGTTTTCAATATCTCCTTGTGACACGAGTGATAATTTTTATCGGAATACATATTCTTACAAAATTAAATAGATATAAATAATATAATGATCCGACGGAAATTCCGCAGCACACATGGGAAGGGAGATAACCAGAGTAACTCTTTAGTTTGACATTCCGCGGGAAATAGATATAATACGAAACGGTGACTTATCACAAATCCATAGCTTTTCGTTAACTTTCAAAATGGCGGCGCCCATGAGAACGCCAGCCTGCAAAATCGGCCCCTCTATTTTAAACGCAGACCTTTCTGATCTAGCTTCAGAATGTCAGAGAATGATGGACAGTGGAGCAGATTATTTACACTTGGATGTGATGGACGGACAGTTTGTTCCTAACTTAACATTTGGTCACCCTGTTGTAAAATGTCTCCGTCCTAAACTTCCTGGAGTTTTCTTTGACATGCATATGATGGTACAGAAGCCCGAACAGGTGAACACTGCACAGTCCTAGACATAGACAGTAGTTGCAATTTTGTAGTTCTGACATAAAATGCGAATTTGTTTATATTGTGTTGGCTAGACCAGACTTAGAGGAGATCAGGTATTAATAATTGTACTAGCCGTAGATTGTATGACGCCTCATGTATCAACCTACAGACATATATTCTATACATTAATAAGAATCCACATTATTCAGTTTGGAAGAGAGAGAGAGATGCATTGGGAAAACGAAGCCTCTCAAGCGATCTTTTTTTTATTCAGACACGTTACCAATAATTTTTTTAGTTTTATTTTCAACAAGTCCAGAACACAAATTCCAAAATGTTAATGGGTTATCAAAATCTGTGTGTCCAACAGGAAAAAAAACATCAGTTCAGGACTCAAATATCTGAGTCACAAAAATCACTGGTTACACGTCTTAAAAAGTAATATGACTGAGAGAAAAAAAGAAAATTTTATACTGTGTTTTGTTTACTAAGTACTCAGTATCTCCCTTGTGTTTACAATATGACTGTATTATCTTGCAGTGGATTGAGGGCATGCATGATGCCGGTGCTAATCAATATACATTTCATTATGAGGCGACAGACGACCCCGCAGCTTGTATCAGAAAAATAAGAGAAACTGGAATGAAGGTATTCTTATGTTTTTACTGGTCATATCACAAGTATGTCTAGCACCGTATAAATTTGTGTACCATATTGTTTAGTCCCTACAAAACCTGTTTGCCATGCCAAGTCTTATTATATAATTTCAAAAAGCAGCTTTTTAATCTTTACCTAATTTTCAGAATACACATTGCATGGCTTAAAGTCTGAATAAGGTTTTTAATGCCAGTTTTGAAAAATACATCACTCTATAGGTTACTGATGCATATATATGGTACCAGTGTCCTTTTATTGTTAAAATTGTCAGAAAAAGGAATTTTGGCTTTATAAAAAAATCTGCTTTCTGATATGTTTTGGACTCTTTTCGATAATAATATTTATTTTGCTGAAATTGAAATACAGTAATAACAGGTAGCTTTGAAAACAAAGTACACCATAGACAGGGATATCAATTGACAATAAACAAAGCGTATATATTTGTTTCATTTTAGATTGACAATCATTTACAAGGCAAGCAATGTTCTGCAACAGCTCTTGTTAAGGTGCTGTTCACCAGTGAAATCCTGCCCATGTAATCATGCATTAAAAGCATGGTTCCCTCTGGTAACTTTATTGTCTGTCTGGAAACATGATTCCTCTGTTAACTTTATGGTCTGTCTGGAAACATGGTTCCCTCTGGTAAATATGGTATCAACATGGTTCCCTCTGGTAAATACGGTGTCTGTCTGGAAACATGGTTCCCTCTGGTAAATATGGTGTCTGTCTGGAAACATGGTTCCTTCTGGTAAATATGGTGTCTGTCTGGAAACATTGTTCCCTCTGGTAAATATGGTGTCTGTCTGGAAACGTGGTTCCTTCTGGTAAATATGGTGTCTGTCTGGAAACATTGTTCCCTCTGGTAAATATGGTGTCTGTCTGGAAACTTGGTTCCTTCTGGTAAATATGGTGTCTGTCTGGAAACGTGGTTCCTTCTGGTAAATATGGTGTCTGTCTGGAAACGTGGTTCCTTCTGGTAAATATGCCTGTCAGTCCATCTGTCTGTTCATTCATGCATTTGTCTGTTTACCACAAACTACCCCATATATGTTTTATATGTATTGCTTACATTGATAAAGGAATAAATCTGTTTTTTTAGGCTGGAATTGGTATAAAACCAAACACTCCTGTAGACGTCCTTGTTCCCCTGGTTGATTTAGTGGATATGGTCCTTGTCATGACGGTAGAACCAGGTTTCGGTGGACAAAAGTTTATGCAAGATATGATGCCAAAGGTAAAAAAGGGATATTAAATGCTTCAATGGATTGAAAATATCATGTGACAGCTTGGTTCTGCATTAACCTCAGAAAGTTAAAATCTTTTAAAGTATGAGGGCCAAGTGTTCATACCGCCAACTTAGTTCCAAGTGTTTTGTCTTTGAATGTAATGTTGTGGAATTGATATCCACATCCACATACATATACACATGATTTACTGTGTTTACAAATTCAGGTCTTGTTTAGGCTCATTTAGTTGGAGTAAATGAACACATAATTTTTTTTAGGCAATGTATGTAACATCTTGATATACAATTTCATACTAAAAGTATAGAATTCAGATATAACTGGAAAAATTCTAAAGTAGTGATATTTTGATAGTAGATATTAATTCTTTTACTGTCCTGATGTAAGAGATATTCTAGTGTTGTTCTTCTTTCATAAAAATTGTACATCTGAAGAATATGACCTTATATTTATGGGATATTTGACCTTGATGTTGCAATACTTTTTGAAACAAGTGAAAATAAGGGTTGATGCTTTTGTATCTACTCATTGTCATAAAATCTACATTATTTTATTCAGAGATTTGATTGACCTTGTAGGTACAGTTTTTGAGAGATAATTTTAGAGATGTTGATATAGAAGTTGATGGTGGAGTTGGTCCCGGTACCATTCAACACTGTGCAGAGGTAAATTGTCATCATACCAGAAAGACTAGCAGACTATTGTCACAATATTAATAATGAAAAAAACATTGTTCTGTGTGACAGAAACATCTGTTACTTTCTACACGGTCTAGGTACTGCTTCCACTTGTCCCCAAATAAATTGATATCTTTGCAACAGTTATTTAGGTAACAAAGCTTAGTCACAACCAACCCATGTGTAACAATATACTTAACTTTTTTTTATCATAGTTAATCCCTGACTTACAAGGGATACATAAGGCTTAATGAAGATAACAACATTGCCCTCAAAACATGGTAGAGGACACATCAGTTAAGTAATAATATCGGCCTTAAAACATGGTAAATGACATATCAGTTAGGTAACAATACTGCCCACAAAACATGGTAGAGGGCATATCAGTTAAGTAGCAACACTGCCCACAAATCATTGTAGAGGATACAAAATGCATAAGGGAGTTCTTTGCCAACCTTTGATATAACTGATCTAAAGAGAATAAAATTTGCTAATGATAGTACAGTGTTTACATATTTTTTATGGTAAAAGTGAATATATATTTTCTTTATTTAGGCTGGTGCCAATATGATTGTGTCCGGAAGTGCTATAGTGAAGAGTGATAATCCAAGGGAGACAATGCAACATATGAGGAATATTGTGGACGATTCTATACAGAAATCTCTTCTGGAAAGATGATTTTATTATTGTTGCAAATCAGTGTAAAGATGAGTTCAGGAACAAATATTTTTTTAAGGAAATGAATTGTCTTGAGAGAAATATCAAATATCATAAAATCTATATAAACTGAACATTGATTAAATTTGTTTTTTTTTAATTGGTTATATGATACCAACATCTTTTCATTCAGGAATTTGTGTATATATGATATGAAATATATAAACTATTGTTTTCTATCAATACTATTTTAACAAAATGGACACACATTAGTCTAATACTTGTCAAAAAATATCCCCCATTCCAGTGTTAAAAAGATATTTTGTGCACATTTTAACTTAGATTGGGCTCTTTTTAGTTGTATTTAGTCCATGTACTGGTACAGTGGTATCTAGGGGTGTTTTCTGTATTTAGTCCATGTACTGGTACAGTGGTATCTAGGGGTGTTTTCTGTATTTAGTCCATGTACTGGTACAGTGGTATCTAGGGGTGTTTTCTGTATTCGGTCCATGTACTGGTACAGTGGTATCTAGGGGTGTTTTCTGTATTCAGTCCATGTACTGGTACAGTGGTATCTAGGGGTGTTTTCTGTATTCAGTCCATGTACTGGTACAGTGGTATCTAGGGGTGTTTTCTGTATTCCGTCCATGTACTGGTACAGTGGTATCTAGGGGTGTTTTCTGTATTCGGTCCATGTACTGGTACAGTGGTATCTAGGGGTGTTTTCTGTATTCAGTCCATGTACTGGTACAGTGGTATCTAGGGGTGTTTTCTGTATTCAGTCCATGTACTGGTACAGTGGTATCTAGGGGTGTTTTCTGTATTCAGTAGAATTTTATACCATTCATTGATGTAATTCTGAAGTGAGTCATTTTAATACCACACTCTATTGATATGATACATCATACTTATGTAGAGGGTTTCAGGGCTGAATCTCAATGTAGCACATGGTATGTTTTCTTGAAACATTTTCCATCTATTTATTATTTAAGGTATAATCAGGAGTAAGGATATTGGTTTAGAGTAGAGAATGTTTAGAGTAGAGTGTATATCGGTTAGGGTGTATTCAGGGTAGAGTTTATTAAGGGTAAGTCATATATGTATTAGGAAGGGTATATTTAGTTTATTGAGGTCAAGGCGTATTTAGAGTTGAATGTTAAAAAGTATTCAGGGTAGAGTTTATTAAGGGTAAGTCATATATGTATTAGGAAGGGTATATTTAAGTTAGAGTATATCACTTAATTAGAAATATTGGTATATAAGGGGTTTTTATCAGGGTAAAAATAGGAGTACCTGGATGTTGTCCCACTTTTCTCAGAAGCATGCTCTGGTGAAGGGGAATCAATTTTGAGTGAACAGTCAGTTTCAGCCTTCAGGGGTGGAAGGGGCAAGGCCCAATAGTGGAAATAGAGCAAATTCTGACCATCATTGTGATTTGTTACCCAGGCTGTACAGGTACCCATCATTGTGATTGTTAATCAAAACAAAAACCTCATTCTGTCATGGGTTTATGTCAGAATGTGTACAGTCTGACTTCTTTTCACTTTCCACTTACAGAAATATCTTCTTCAGATTGCTAGATATTTCAAAGAATGGAAAAATGAGTTATGGTTGTAGTTTCCACAGGTTATAACTGATATCTGTACATGTGTTCCTGTAAGGTTATGTTTTATTTGACTGTGTCGCTGTAAAATAATTCTGCCAAGATTATCTCCCCTTGTTTACATTATATCTCATTACTTGCCTTGGATTTTAAAGCGTAGTTCAAAAAATTTAACTGCCAAAAACATATCGATCATATCAATATGACATTTTTATTTTTTATCTAAAGAAATCCAGGCAATACTATTAAGAAAACTATATGTTGAATATTTTTAAGTGTGCACATTCTTTGTTTGTTTTTGTTTTGTTTTTTGGGTTTTCGCAAGTGTTGATTGTCTAGCAGATCAAAAGCAGATGAATTCAAAGTGTAACTGTGATTCGTACTTAGTAGTTTATTGTTGTTTGTCCAGATTTCTAAGTGAGTTTTCTCATGTGATATTGATTGTAAAGATGAATAAATCTTGTATAAAATGGTAATCACGTATGAATAGCATTCTTCCTGTAACAATGCTGATTATGTAGAAATTGTTCTTATTGGCTGCTTTCTGGTACTTAATTGTTTTGTATGGTTAATATGGTGATAACTAGATTTCAAACCTGGTTTAGTTACATTTTCCTATGATGAAGTATTTTGAGGAGAGTGATGAATTATATCTCACTCAATACTACAACATATAAGAGTGAGTTTGTGTTGACTTATAGAAACTTGAAACTTTCATACCCTTGGAGGTGACACTGGGGGATCTGAACTGGAGGAGAGAGAAACTTAAGTCAGCAAATTATTTTTTCCAAAGAGTAGGGATCTCCATAACTCACTAACAAGGGGGTTAATGATAATATTTTCTCTTACCCCACTTATGTTATTAAGTGTACATATGTGTTCTTGTTGTTCTAATGCTTCACATCATTGATTTGACATTAACTCAACCTTAGACGGAGACAAGGAAATCTCGCACTGGTGAAAAGTGTGGATATATTTGTCCAGGTTAAGGGAAAGAACAGTCAAGGATAACTTCGCAGAGACAGGAAGTCAAGGATAATGAAAGTTCTGAAATATTACACGGATATACATAGTCAGAAATAAACAATATACTCGGATACATTATTAGTTTTTTTATAATAGCGACTTAATCATTATGATGAGATCAAAGATATATTGCCTTAGTGACTCCCCATGGATGACAGATCACACAAATAAAATTGAAAGTGATATCGAAAAGGTCCATTTTACCTGTCCTTAGTGATGCCTTCCTACATACTATTGGACATAGTTTTTCTACTGAAAATCTACTACTGAGAATTTCACTTAAGTCCTATATCATTTTCTATTGAGCATCCAAGGAAACAAAATGGATTTACAGTAGGATTAATACATAAAATTTTGTCAGTTTAGACTTGGAGAAGAAATCTATTATAATGGCACAATAGTTACTAGTAAGCATTTATCATTAATTAATGTAAATTGATTTTTTTACTGATTTGTATTACATGGCATATTATGGTAAGGTTAAATATTTCTGTAATATTGTGTTGATAATAACTTGAAAAACCGTGTCTTAGCACAAACGTATATTACTCTGTCCTAACACAAATTTGTATTACTATATCCTGACACAAACTTGTCTGATATCTTGTAAGTATTTATTTCTTTGACAAAAAGAACCTACAACCAGACGATTATTAGAAACTGATAAAAATGATGGATATTTTACAGTATGGTGCCAATTTTGAAAATATTGATGTTATAGAACAACAGCGTATTTGTGCTTGTAATTTGTATGTACAAGGTAATATTTTTTGTAAAGAGTTTGACTCAAACATTATGATCTGAAAGTTTTGTTCCACAAAATACTTCTGTTCTGTATTTGTCCGTTGATATGTTTGATTCTTATTTTGTCCTGAAACATGACAAAAACGAATTTCCTAGGAATAAAATAATGATTTAAACTAATGTTTAATGAATGTCTGAATGTTTTACATAACTCATACCGAGATATCAACCACAGGTGCCTGTGGAAGATACCCTCACACCAAGATATCAACCACAGGTGCCTGTGGAAGACGCCCTCATACCGAGATATCAACCACAGGTGCCTGTGGAAGACGCCCTCATACCGAGATATCAACCACAGGTGCCTGTGGAAGACGCCCTCATACCGAGATATCAACCACAGGTGCCTGTGGAAGACGCCCTCACGTACACCATATACATCGTAGTATATGTTGTGAATTGAACACTACTCTGAATATGATTGGTTATGATTATATATTTAACAGTTCGTAGAATTGTTACTATAAAATTTGTGATGGTGCAAGACTTTTCCAAATGGATTCCTTAGTTTATTATCTTGATAACTTATTATGTGTATACCATCTGGAGTATTGTTTAACGTAATATTTTGTGTATTTCAACCAGGAACAACTGTTAATGTAATATTTCATGTATACCAACCAGGAACACAGCCATTTGTTGTAAAATTGGGCTTTAGACAAGCCTTCAGACTGTGATATCATTAATACCCAACGTGACCCAGGATAGGCTGACGACTGAAAATTATGTCTCATCAATGATTGTCATCAAGACATAAAACAAATGACATCATCTGTAATTAATTTATTTTAAAAAAAACTGACAGGAAGAGGGGTAGTCGAGTACTCGTGTTACAGAACACAGTTATCATGGAAGTCATCCAACTAATGTGGTCCTCAATAGTAGGCTATTTATGTTTTATTATAAGATAAACAACATTTTCATAACATATGGAATATGAAAAGATGAAATAAAGAATTTGTTGGTTATCGTTTTCAGTTAAAATCCATAAATATTGCTTTTGATGTTTCAACTTTTCTTAAATAAAAACACTTTTAGTAAGAGACAGCAGATGAAAGTATAACCATCCTTAGATGTAACATCTGAAAGACACATACAACTTGGTTGTAAACACTTCAGTCAATATTAGTGTCATGGTTAATGAATCAATTCCGTTCTAATCAAGTTTACACGCTAAAGGGAAATCTGATGCGAAATATACTGTAGACTGGAGAACACTAGAAGTATACTATAGACTGGAGAACAACTAGATATATTCCTCATATACAACATATACATCGTAGTATATGTTGTTAATTGAACATTACTCTGAATACGATTGGTTACGATTATATATTTAACAGTTCGTATAATTGTTACTATAAAATTTGTAATGTAATTTTCTAAATGGATTCCTAAGTGTATTATCTTGATAACTTATTTTGTGTATACCATCTGGAGTAACGTTTAACGTAATATTTTGTGTATTTAAACCAGGAACAACTGTTAATGTAATGTTTCATGTATACCAACCAGGAACACAGCCATTTGTTGTAAAATTGGGCATTAGACAAGCCTTCAGACTGTGATATCATTAATACCCAACGTGACTCAGGATAGGCTGACGACTGAAAATTATGTCTCATCAATGATTGTCATCAAGACATAAAACAAATGGCATCATCTGTAATTAATTTATTAAAAAAAACTGACAGGAAGAGGGGTAGTCGAGTACTCGTGTTATAGAACAGAGTTATCATGGAAGTCATCCAACTAATGTGGTCCTCAATAGTAGGCTATTTATGTTTTATTATCAGATAAACAACATTTTCATAACATATGGAATATGAAAAGATGAAATAAAGAATTTGTTGGTTATCGTTTTCAGTTAAAATCCATAAATATTGCTTTTGATGTCTCAACTTTTCTTAAATAAAAACACATTTGGTAAGAGACAGCAGATGAAAGTATAACCATCCTTAGATGTAACATCTGAAAGACACATACAACTTGGTTGTAAACACTTCAGTCAATATTAGTGTCATGGTTAATGAATCAATTCCGTTCTAATCAAGTTTACACGCTAAAGGGAAATCTGATGCGAAATATACTATAGACTGGAGAACAACTAGAAGTATACTATAGACATTGAACAACTAGAAGTATACTATAGACATTGAACAACTAGAAGTATACTATAGACTGGAGAACACTAGAAGTATACTATAGACATTGAACAACTAGAAATATACTCTAGACTGGAGAACAACTAACAGTATACTCTAGACATTGAACAACTAAAGTATACTCTAGACTGAAGAACAACTATAAGTATACTATAGACATTGAACAACTAGAAATATACTATAGACTGGAAAACAACTAGAAGTATACTCTAGACTGGAGAACAACTGGAAGTATACTCTAGACTGGAGAACAACTAGAAGTATACTCTAGACATTGAACAACTAGAAGTATACTCTAGACTGGAGAACAACTAGAAGTATACTCTAGACTGGAGAACAACTAGATATATTCTCTAGACTGGAGAACAACTAGAAGTATACTCTAGACTGGAGAACAACTAGAAGTATACTATAGACATTGAACAACTAGAAGTATACTCTAGACTGGAGAACAACTAGAAGTATACTCTAGACTGGAGAACAACTAGAAGTATACTATAGACTGGAGAACAACTAGAAATATACTCTAGACTGGAGAACAACTAGATATATTCTCTAGACTGGAGAACAACTGGAAGTTTACTCTAGACTGGAAAACAACTAGAAATATACTATAGACATTGAACAACTAGAAATATACTATAGACTGGAGAACAACTAGAAATATACTCTAGACTCGAGAACAACTTGAAGTATACTATAGACTGGAAAACAACAAGAAGTATACTCTAGACTCGAGAACAACTAGAAGTATACTCTAGACTGGAGAACTGCTTATCAACCCGATCCTGTTAGATAAGTCTTAGGGACCCTGCGTAAACGTCCCATGCCTGGTCCGCAAGTGTTATATGGCACACATTATACTGACCAAAGGTCGAGAATACGTGCCAAGTCCCTGTGAGATAAGATTTTTTGCAATCTAGTTGTTACATAGGTCAACATCGATAATGGTTTCTGTGTTGTGGCTTGTTTGTGCAACACTCGTTGTGCAAGGTAAAGTTGTTATTTCACTCTGTATTTCTTATCAGGTTGTTTGAAGCCAAAGTTACATATATAAGTATCTTTTAATCGAAACAAGCAATATGATATTTTCTCAAATTTCTTCATCTATAATCATGTTTTGATAACGAAATTCTGATAAGCGACGTCTAAATGAGAAAATTGAAAATTTGATCACATGATTTTAATTGTCAGTAACCCTTGGGTGTCCAAACGGCTGGGAAACGTTTGATGGCTCCTGTTACTTCGTGTCCGACATCAGGGAAGATTGGCCAACAGCATCGGTACATTACTCATTAATTATGTTATCACTAGTATAAGTAGCTCGGTACATTACCCAGTAATTATGTTATCACTAGTATAAGTAGGTCGATACAATACCAATTAATTATGTTATCACTAGTGTAAGTAGGTCGGTACATTACCTAGTAATTATGTTATCACTAGTATAAGTATGTCAATACATTACCCAGTAATTATGTTATCACTAGTATAAGTAGCTCGATACATTACCCATTAATTATGTTATCACTAGTATAAGTATGCTCGGTACATTACCTAGTATAAGTAAGTATACAGTTAATTATGTTATCACTAGTATAAGTATGTCAATACATTACATATTAATTATGTTATCACTAGTATAAGTAGATCTGTACATTACATATTAATTATGTTATCACTAGTATAAGTAGATCTGTACATTACATAGCTTGCCACTAGTACATACATTACCCAGTATAAGTAATTATGTTATCACTAGTATAAGTATGTCAATAAGTAGATCTGTACATTACATATTAATTATGTTGCCACTAGTATAAGTACCCATACATTACCCATTAATTATGTTATCACTAGTATAAGTAGATCTGTACATTACATATACATTACCATTACAATTAATTATGTTATCACTAGTATAAGTAGAATACATGTACATTACATATTAATTATGTTATCACTAGTATAAGTAGTCAATACATTACCCATTAATTATGTTATCTATAAGTATGTCAATACATTACATATTAATTATGTTATCACTAGTATAATCAAGTATATGTACATACTCCATTAATTATGTTACTGGATTACATATTAATTATGTTACATTACATATTAATTATGTTATCACTAGTATAAGTATGTCAATACATTACACATTAATTATGTTATCATCACTAGTATAAATACATTACATATACATTATATATTAATTATGTTATCACTAGTATAAAGTAGATCTGTACATTACATATTAATTATGTTATCACTAGTATAAGTAGATCTGTACATTACATATTAATTATGTTATCACTAGTATAAGTAGCTCGGTACATTACCCATTAATTATGTTATCACTAGTATAAGTAGATCTGTACATTACATATTAATTATGTTGCCACTAGTATAAGTAGCTCGATACATTACCCATTAATTATGTTATCACTAGTATAAGTATGTCAATACATTACCCAGTAATTATGTTATCACTAGTATAAGTATGTCAATACATTACCCATTAATTATGTTATCACTAGTAGAAGTAGCTCGGTACATTACCCAGTAATTATGTTATCACTAGTATAAGTATGTCAATACATTACCCAGTAATTATGTTATTATGTTACCACTAGTATAAGTATGTCAATACATTACCAATTAATTATGTTGCCACTAGTATAAGTATGTCAATACATTACCTATTAATTATGTTACCACTAGTATAAGTATGTCAATACATTACATATTAATTATGTTGCCACTAGTATAAGTATGTCAATACATTACCCATTAATTATGTTATCACCAGTATAAGTATGTCAATACATTACATATTAATTATGTTATCACTAGTATAAGTAGATCTGTACATTACATATTAATTATGTTATCACTAGTATAAGTAGGTCAATACATTAAACATAAATTATGTTATCATTAGTATAAGTATGTCAATACATTACATATTAATTATGTTATCACTAGTATAAGTATGTCAATACATTACCCATTAATTATGTTATCACTAGTATAAGTAGCTCGGTACATTACCCAGTAATTATGTTATCACTAGTATAAGTAGCTCGGTACATTACCCATTAATTATGTTATCACTAGTATAAGTAGCTCGGTACATTACCCAGTAATTATGTTATCACTAGTATAAGTAGCTCGGTACATTACCCAGTAATTATGTTATTACTAGTATAAGTAGCTCGGTACATTACCCATTAATTATGTTATCACTAGTATAAGTAGATCTGTACATTACATATTAATTATGTTATCACTAGTATAAGTATGTCAATACATTACAAATTAATTATATTATCACTAGTATAAGTAGCTCGGTGCATTACCAATTGATTATATTATCACTAGTATAAGTAGATCTGTACATTACATATTAATTATGTTATCACTAGTATAAGTATGTCAATACATTACCAATTAATTATGTTACCACTAGTATAAGTATGTCAATACATTACATATTAATTATGTTATCACTAGTATAAGTAGCTCGGTTCATACCCATTAATCATGTTGCCACTAGTATAAGTAGCTCGATACATTACCCATTAATTATGTTGCCACTAGTATAAGTAGATCTGTACATTACCCATTAATTATGTTATCAGTACTACAAGAAAAATCGAATTAATAACGTTTTCAGCCATTTTGATAAGCGTATAAATCGGTATTATGATCAGTAATAATAATGTTTAACTTATTAATCAAAATGTTGAGAAAAATTACTAGTAGTTGTATCAAGATATATGTTTTTAAAAAATGCTTGTTTGATAATTGGTAGTTCAACGAGACAGACAAAATGCTTACACATTTAATAAACATTTGATTCATGATAACCTTATAATAATGGAAATAATCCGACCCCAACTTGTCCATATCAATTAAAATATTCACACAAATTATTTACTTTATATATTATAGATCGAAGAACTTCATAATATCATTTTCCATCCAAGCGCTACATAATTACCTTAATTACCTACATGATATATTGTAAACAAGAATCACTGATTGGACATCCCTACCCGTTTTGATTTCAAGACGTAAGGAACCACATCTAAATTGTTTTTCGCAGAAATTTAGCGTGAACACATTTAACATAATTATTGGCGGCTTGCTCAAACTTAAATATACTCTGTATGTACGTAATTTGTTACCAATAAAATACAAAACAAAACGATACAATACAATACAAAACAATACAATACAAAACGATACGATTCAATACAATACGATACAATACAATACAATACAAAGCGATATAATACAATACCATACAATACAAAACGATACGATACAATACAATATGATACAATACAATATAATACAATACGATACAATACAACACAATACAATGCAATACAATAATGTTTTATTGCAGTGTCACACATAATAGTTTACAATAAAGCGCATTAAAATATTGCGACACATAATGATGTCCAGCCGGATTCGAGACACTTTTAAAAGTCCATGGTTATCAAAATAAAAGACGTATTTTACGTTATACATATATCAGTTAAAATTACATTTTAAAAAAGAACGTCTACGCCTCATCATGAGATAAATTGATTTTGATAAAAGATATTAAATATCTTCAGTTTGTAAAATACACAAAAAATATCTTTATTACTTAAAGTGTCAAATTCATTGCGTAACATACTGGCTTTTTCAAAGACTGGAATTCGAAAATCGTTTTACCATATATATTATTAACATCACGTTTTTGATTTTCCGTTATACATTGATAGGGTGCTATATTTGGAGTAACTACACCATTTAATCTTTTTATCTTTGAAGACACCAACAACACTAAAGTTCCAGGGCTTTCTAAGATACGTGACAACTTATGAACTGACTGCAGTATTCTATTCACAATTCTCATTACGTAAAAATAATAATAACAATAAAACAATAAAAAAAAACTCGGACTAACTTCACACGAATACCACCCCATATTACCACGGAGAGCAGTATTGCTTCCATTTTCAGCAGCTCCAAGGAAATATCTACAGACCTTACTTTGAACTATGTCCACTTCTCTATATTTATTAAGTCCCCAAAATTCCAACACCCGAAAATAACAGTTCCATCAGAGAAGTATGTTATTGAGAGTAAACTACATAATTTTGTTGATTATATTTCTACTATCCCATCATACCATTATGGTCATCCATAAAAAAATTAAATTGTAAAAAAATCAGTACACGTCGTTCATTATCCTAATGACTTTAATTTTGTGTCTACTCATACTCTAATCGGTTTTATGAATCTTACTTATCTCTTGAAATAAATGAAGTTAATTGACCCCATGTAGATACGTATATTGCTGCCTCTACAATATTATGATTATTTGTTTGTTGTTTGTGTTTATTTTGCCATTGTTTACTATAACATACATTACTATATATTTCATCATCAGGAAATTGCGGACATTGATAAAAGTGTTAAAATTGTAAAGAAAAAAAATGTGTAATTTCCCCTACTAACTATGATTACTCTTTTTTATATGCTATTATATATTTTTATTTTAATTCAATATTGTACTGTCAATTAGTTATTACTGACGGTTACTATGGATCTATAAAGTCTGAGAGTGTAAAAGTGTGTCTCATGAGTAAATGGAAATAAAAGAGTGTGTATGAATGAATGGTAACATACTCACAAATATATCATACCTATATAATTATATGCAAAATATATAATGTATATATTAAACCACCAATATTGAAGGTTTGTATAGGTCTATTAAGTCATCTAAATTTTTATACAATGAAATTAGTTGAAATGAAACAGATTCTTGAATTTTTGAATGATTGAAAGAGCGCACAGCAATGATTTCTTGGTCGTTTTTATTTTCTTATGACAATTTGTAAATTGAATAGAATATAAAAAATAATCATGATTATGACTTGGTTATCGTTTTCGAGGTTTTGGTTGGGGGTGTTGTTACTTCCAGGCTGATTTTAAGAATTTGTTAACAATTTCAGTCAACATGTGGATTGTATCATGCCCATCTTGCTGAAATTGAAAGCGCAAGGGAGGACACTTTTCTTAAACAAATAATCTCGAAATATCATGGTAAGGTGCTGTTTTTTAAATCACTGTTTATAGGCCTTTAATATATCAAGCTGACCTTTCAGCCCATTTAGCGAGTGAGAATTTCAAATGGAGAAAATGAAAGTTGTACATAAATTTGTGCTAAAAATAAGGAATTACGAGCAAACATACCTCAAAACTCCAAATCACTCAAAATATGAACAAAGGAAATATATATCATATGTGATAAAAAGCACGTCAAGACATGATTTCTAACCAACATGTGAAATTTAAGATCAGGTACCTATAAAAAAACACGTGAAGAATAAGAAAAGATTACGAAAAAACACGTGAAATGAACAATAAAAACAGGTTTCATAAAAAAAACACCTGAAGACATAATTTCTAAACATGAACCATAAGATAAAGTACCTATAATAAAGAAAACGTGAAGAATGAGAAAAGATTACGAAAAAACACGAGAAAAAGACCAGGTTTTCTAAAAACAAGAAGAATAGATAACAGATCTCATAATAAAAAATATACGTGAAGAATAGAACCAGGTTTCTTAAAAGAAAAAAAAAACCGCATGAAAATTAGAATAAAGTTACCTAGAAAGGACCTGTGGAATAAGACCAGGATTCTTATAGAAGAAAAGACAGATAAATGATAGAGCAGGTGACCTAGATAAACGTGAAAGATAAGCACCAGATTTTCTTTTTGAAAACGTGAAGAATCAGGCAAGGTTCCACAAGACAAACCGTGAAGAATAAGAAGAGGTTTCATTTTTTAAAATATGTTAAGAATAGGACAAAGTTACCTTTAAAATGCACTAGGTTTTCTAAAATGCGCTCGATGAATAAGACCGTAATTCGTTACGTTAAGGTTAAGTTGATGACAACTGCCATAATCAACCAGATCAACTGGAATAATGTCGTGGTTTCATAACAGACGACGACAACTAAATCACTAGGCATGCTAACGAGCATCAAACAATCATATAGTGAAATTATATCAATCTTCCATTATCTTCATCATTATTTTTTTTTCTTATCGTCAGTTGTTAACAAAAAGTAAATTATATACAAATTCAAAACAATACAAAACTCTACATGTGCCCATGATGTCTTTGTGATAGACTGACAATCAATTCATTATTCTTTTCTGAGTCGTTTTATTTCTGTAGATGGCCACTCGAATGATGCTGAATATTGGTTAGGCGGGGCGGACATATTTGTGGAAGGTGACTGGCGATGGGTATACTCTGACCAGCTTTTCAGCTACACAAACTGGTACCCAGGCGAACCAAACAGCTACCATAACCAACAAGAAGATTGTTTGATTGTTGCAATAAGGCAAAATCGAGAGTATCGATGGGATGATCGACCGTGCAAAGAACAAAATAACTTCATTTGTGAGATCGGGTAAGTCTGCATTAAGGCGAAGAAGCATATTTAAAAACTGGAGATTCCTTAAATGTTGATAGTGCTTTCAACGTTTTTATGTGTTAATTTTGCCGAATGTTTCAAACCAGCCATAGTGATATTACAGGAATATCGAAAATTCAGGACAATTTCAATAAACGGTCTTTACACGATATTTTTTGAGCATTTTAGAATACCAAAGAAAGATTCCATCAAAAGAAAAAAACAATAAGAAATTTAAAAAAATAAACAAATGACTAACATAACAGTAAAATAGATAATGATATTCTGTCCTGTTAGTGATGCTTGTTAATTGTTCAAAGAAGGATAAAAGGGTGACCTAAAGCCTTGCTTGACATCGTTAAACAATCTCTTAATTCAAATAATACAAATGTGTCATTAACAAGGATACCAGTATTAAATTTAATTGATACATTCACAGTTAGCTTATTTTTGAAATTACAACCTCGTTTGTGAAGAGTCTCTCCAAATCACTTATGCACCAGTACATGAATTTCTTTACTTTCAGTGACAGTTCTGGAGCAATCGTGATTGGCTGAGCGTGACTGAACCTGCAACTGGTGCCGTTACTCAATAATAATGTAGTAACTTGTTGGAAATAAACATTAGATAATAATACAATATTCCAGTTTTAACTTTTCTATAGTCTTATCCACTTCCCCTGTTCTATATAGGTGGTCCTCAGAAGAACCCATTATATGTTACGTTATTGATAATTAAACAATTATATAGTCATATGAAGTTTAAATCCTAAGCTTCATTATAAATCCGAATTATTCTGATGTTTTACAGGATCGATTTTTATACCGGTCTATAGTCAATCAACGGAAGAGCCCTGTCCCTATGTGAAGCGAGGGAAATAAAGCGACACGCGCCTGGGTCGGCATTCAAATGATAATTGTGGAAGGAAATCGTCATTTTCACATGCATATCACACATGAGTCGAAAAATCTGCTCTTTATCTACAATTCATGTATTTTAAATTAGGACTTGTCTCATAACACGAAAAACGTCACCTCTGTTATCCTGTATTTATTTCAGAAATGTCCGGAACAAGTGTCTGTGATATATGGATCAATCCGGTACGTGTTACTGTAGGGTATTTAGTATAACCCTGGGCGTTAGCTCTTCTGTCGTGGAGGTTAATAAAAACAGTTGTAACACCTGGACGACATTTCTTATGAGTTGATTGTTCCACGTGGGTAGCAAACAAGATATTATAGTGGCGACGAGGCACGGAACTTGTGGTAAGATCGACTCTGTGTTTTGAAAGAAAGCACCATGGCGAAAATAGGCCGTATCGGCGAGTTCGCAGAGGGCAAAGAGGATTTCAGTTATTACGTTGAGAGACTGGAACAGTTTTTTGCCGCAAATGATACAGCTGACGTTAAACGGGTCCCTGTGTTTCTAGCGGTAGTAGGTCCGCAAACATATGCTTTGCTTAGGAACATTCTCACCCCAGAGCTGCCCAGTACCAAATCGTATGAGGAGTTGAAGGCAGCACTAACTAGACATTATTCCCCCAAACCACTCGTGATAGGAGAACGGTTTAAATTTCACAATCGTAAACAGAGGGAGGGGGAATCAGTTTCTGATTATGTAGTCAGCCTAAAGAAGTTGGCAAAGTATTGTAAGTTCAGGGACTTCCTTAATCAGGCCTTGAGGGACAGACTAGTATGCGGATTACGGAGTGAGGTCATACAAAAGAAACTGTTGGCCGAGAAAGACTTGGACCTAGCCAGGGCTAATGAAATCGCGTTAGCCATGGAGATGGCGATAAAGAACACTGAGGTAATGTCGCAGCCGGCCATTGGTTCAGTCAATGTTGTGAACAAAGGTCAGAAGTACAAGCCTCGGAAATCAAAGTACTGGGGTACTGAAAGATCACACTCGGACAAGGCAGAGGGAACCAACAGTGACTCAGGTAAAAGGTGTTTTCGCTGTGGTGGAAAACATACAACAGCAGACTGTAAGTTTCTGCATGCGCAGTGTTATGTGTGTCAGAAAGAGGGACATATTGGAAAAAAATGTCCAACCAAAAGGTCAAAAGGGTCTGTAAGCGGTACTAACATTAGTAAGACTAAGTATCTGGAGGCGCAGGAACTCAAGGATGATGAGTTCTTATATGGCCTGTATAATGTCGCTAGTGTTGATAAGGGCTATTAGGTGAACCTCGATTTGAACGGTTGTCCAGTTCAGATGGAAATTGACACAGGAGCCGCGGTCACTATTTGCTCGGAGAAGGTGTATACTGATCATCTCTCGCAATTGTCCTTGCAAAAGCCCACGGTCAAGCTTAAAGACTATGGTGGCGTGAACGTGCCATTACGCGGTGAGATAACCGTTCCGGTGACATACGGAAATCAGAGCCATAACTTGTTGTTGCGCGTCGCATGTGGCAACCGTCCATCGTTGTTGGGTCGGAACTGGCTAAGCCACATCAAGCTCGATTGGCCAAGTATATTTACTGTGACCCAGTCAGTGCAGTCGCAGCGCATTGATACGTCGGTCTAGGAACTGTTGGTCAAGCATCACAAGCTGTTCCAGAAAGGTCTGGGAACGATACAGAAATTCAAGGCTCAAGTAAAGGTTCGGTCGGATGTACAGCCCATTTTCTGTAAGGCCCGGGCGGTGCCTTTTTCCCTGAAGGAAGCCTTAGAGAAGGAGATTCATAGACTTGAAAATGAAGGCATTGTGTCGCGAGTCGAACAAAGCGATTGGGCGACTCCAGTTGTCATTGTGCCGAAGGCCGAAAAGTCAATACGCCATTGTGGCGACTTCAAGGTGACAGTAAACAAGTGCTTGGATGAACAACAGTATCCACTTCCGAATGTGGAAGACATGTTTGCACAGCTGGCCGGTGGTCAGAAGTTAATGAAGTTGGATTTATCGCAGGCGTACCAGCAGTTAACATTAGACGAGGCCTCAGAGAAATATTTAACCATAACCACACACCTGGAATTATTCAGGTATCATCGGTTACCGTTCGGTGTTGCATCGGCCCCCGCTATCTTTCAGTCAGTCATGGATCAGATATTGCAGGGAGTACCGCATACCATGTGTCGTATCGACGATATCCTGGTTACGGCACCAAGCGACAGTGAACACATCAAGATCTTAGGTGAAGTGTTGCGCAGACTCGAGGAGCACCACGTCCGTCTACGCGAGGACAAGTGTAAGTTCATGGAGGACACCGTCGAGTATATGGGTCATATGGTGGATCGCGAGGGAATCCATCCCACTGAGGCGAAAATCGAAGCGATCAAGAACGCGCCAAGTCCGACAAATGTGTCTGAACTGAAATCATTTTTAGGACTTTTGAACTATTATGGTCAGTATATGCCGAATCTGTCGACCAAGTTGCAGCCTTTGCACGAGCTTTTGCGACAGGATAAGTCCTGGAACTGGACCTTACAGTGCGAGTGCGCGTTTCGGTCGTGTAAGGACCAGTTGTCAAGTGATCGCGTGTTGGTTCATTACGACATGAACAAGCCGCTACGGTTAGCGTGCGATGCATCTGCTTATGGGGTCGGAGCTATGATCTCCCACATTTGTGACAACGGAGAGGAGCGCCCCATTGCATACGCGTCACGAACTCTGTCGGCGAGTGAAAAGAATTACGCTCAGGTGGAGAAGGAAGCTTTGGGTCTGGTGTTTGGTGTCCGGAAGTTTCACAAGTATTTGTATGGGCATCAGTTCACCCTGGTGACGGATCACCAGCCGTTAGTTACAATCTTAGGCCCCAAGAACGGCGTCCCGACTTTAGCTGCCGCAAGGATGCAGCGATGGGCTCTTATATTGTCCGCGTATCGATACGATATTGAGTATCGGAGGGCCGAACATCATGCCAATGCAGACGCGTTTTCGAGGTTGCCTGTCAAAAGTGACGGGAAGTCGGAGGAATTGGAGGTCTACCACTTCACTCAGTTGAATGACTTACCAGTGACATCTGAGGACGTTGCGAAGGGGACGAGACGTGATGTAGTGCTGTCGAAGGTACTTGACACTGCGAGGTTGGCCTAATTATTTGTCAGATCGCGACCTGCAACCATTTCATCAGCGCAGAAATGAACTGTCTACTGAGCAGGGTTGTGTGTTGTGGGGTTTGCGTGTAATCATCCCACAAGCCTATCGAGAGCGTATTCTGGCCCAACTACATGAACAGCATGTTGGAATGAGCCGGATGAAATCTCTAGCCCGGAGTTATCTGTGGTGGCCTGGCCTGGATAAAGACATCGAAACAGTGGTCAGTGCCTGTAATGCATGTCAGGCTACGAGGAAAATGCCCCCGGTGACACCCCTTCACTCCTGGTCATGGCCTACTCGTGTTTGGCAGCGTGTCCACATAGACTTTGCGGAGAAAGACAAGAGATATTTTCTTGTGGTTGTGGACAGTCACTCTAAGTGGGTTGAGGTGACTCATATGACAACCACTACTTCTGAGAGGACTATCGAAGTCCTTCGGTCACTCTTCAGTTCTTATGGCCTACCTGAAGATGTTGTCTCTGATAATGGCCCCCAGTTTACCTCAACTGAGTTCGAACAGTTCATGAAACGGAACGGGTCAAGTATACTCTAGTAACGCCCTATCACCCAGCTTCAAATGGAGCAGCGGAACGCTCAGTCCAGATCTTGAAACAAACGCTTCAAAAGCAGGTTTTTGATGGTGATGAACAATATACAATTCAGCATAGTCTCAGTAACTTCTTACTGAAGTATCGATCTACTCCACAGACTGTTACTGGTGTATCGCCAGCTGAATTATTTCTTCAGCGTCAGCTACGCACACCTCTCTCGTTGTTGAAACCTGACACTGGAAGTCGCGTTCAACGGAAGCAAGCTGAACAAAAACGACAACATGACAAAGGGCGAGTTCGGGTTCGAACATTCTCTTCGAAACAGAGAGTGCGGGTGAGGAGTGGTCAGGAAAAGTGGATGCCGGGTACGATAGCGAGATAGCTAGGTCCTCTTACTTATCTCGTACGGGTAGGACCAAACATTCGCTACACCCATGTTGATCATATCTTATCGTCAGGGGAGGAACCGTTATTTGACGATTTATCCGTGGTGTCTAATTCGGGTTCAAACCAGTCGCAAGTGGATACACCCGTGGTACTACCAGAGACGTTCTCGCGTTCTCCAATACCGTCTAAGGAACCTGAAACACTTAAGGTGCCCATCTCTGTACATGACGACTCAGCAGTCGTAGCACCGATTCCAACTCCTCAGCTGGAATCGTCGACGAGTGACATTCAGATACCCGTTGTGTCGAGCACTAGCCCGGTCGTTCGTCGTAATCCACCTAGGAACCGTCAGCCCCCACAAAAGTTGAATTTGTTTGTTGGCTATTAGCCATATCATTGACAGTGATAAGTGTGATTGAGATCTCTTTTAATTACAGTATTTGCAGTGAATGTTGAATTATCGTTTCTTTCAGTTCAGAAGACCAAAGACTGGTTAACAATAATCAACAGAGATTTTGTGTAATTTGAGTATTGAACTTGACATTTTAAAGAGGGAGGAGTGTGATATATGGATC